ATCATAAACATCAAATCATATCTTGGCAAAGGACTGATCATAAGGATCTTCATTTGCTACCTAATTGGTGTTATTTATAGCATTGTGGGCGTAATGGTCATTCAATATAAAAGTCATTTTTTTCTCAGAATTGATTTTTTAAGTTATATTTTACCTCTATAACAGTTTGTTTTTACCTATAATAACAATAACCATATTTATAACAGAACGCTCTTTGTAAGATTACTCTTTGTAACAACCATATAGAAGCTTTAAGATTACTAATAATAGTTTTATGAATATGCACACAATTTTTTCCATTAAACAAAGTTTCTATCTTGCATAAAATATAAGATTTGAAGATTTGCACATGATATCTTTTCTATTTGACAAATTCCGAAAAAATATTTAGATAGAAAATTTAATTGTTATGCTCTCCATTGTCTTCAAGGGAAAGTTATTGGATACCTTTTTTGCTGAAAATTTGACACGAATTTTCGCCAATTCAAGCGTTATATCGCTAGTAAGAGTATGAAATCAACGAAACAAGTTACAATTGCAAAGTTTTTCATCGATCTTGATTTTTTTTTATTTTTTAGGCAACTTTAAAATGTATGCCTTAAAGTTTTAATCTGTATACTTTTAGTTATGAATTTATTAATAATGTATTAGCTTTCTTCAATATTTAACTAGTAAAATATGTATATCTTTTGAGATTTTAAATTTGAATAAATTTCTTAATCTTTTATATGTAACATTATAAAAGGAAAAATAATTAATTTTTGGATAATTTTTATCTATAACAACCAAAAAAAAATTAAACGTCAAATGATGTTATAGGTGTATGATAGTCATTCACTATAAAAGTCAAAAAATATCGGAACAAATGACGATGTTATAGAGAGGGTTGACTGTGGATAATTCAGTAACAACAACTTTAAAAGGAAAGAATAAAATAAAAATAAAATGGAAGAGTTAATTATTTTACTTGGTCAGAATAAGGAGAGAAGGATAAGGTTGCTTCAACATCATGAACAAACCTATCAAGGAAAAATGCGTAGTAAACTGTAGAAAAATGTTAATCGCCAGGAAAAAATGTCTTGTATTTAGCGATTCTTTGATGTAATAAAATTGGGTGAAATAGATAAAATTCTATCACTCTTAATTAGAAGTCTCATGTTCGAAATGCATAAGGTATAGTAAAAAGGAAGTAAGTTAATCCAAAGATGTGATTTCCAAATTTATGTGTTCTTGATTGAAAAAGAGCTAGAACCACCACTACGGTGAAATTTCAAACGTTTGTAAGTCCAATTTGCTACCTATTGAAACTTGCAGGTGACAATTGCCAAAAGGTAAAACTTCCAAAAGGTCAAAATACGTACTCGGAGTTTTACCTACTAGGATGCGTCGATGCGAGGCATAAGTCCCGAAACATGGGCGTAAGCCAGCCCCATGGATCTTTAATTTTTTTAATTTATAAATTAATAAAATAAAAATATAGAAAGTACATTAAAAATTTAAGAAAATTATAAATGATGAAAAAATGATAAAAATGACATATCTAAGAATATTTTTATCGGCATAAATAATCAATAATGTTAATGTTAATACGAAAAACCAAATCAATTATAACTTCTTAACTTTCAAATATTAAAAAAAATCACTATTTCTTAATAAATATTGCTATTAAACTAAATATTTTGCCTTCCAAAAGTAAATAATTCATAAACTTCACCAATGTTGTAATTTAAAATATTACTCCTTCATGTGTAAACACAAAATTACTTTCAAATAGCATAATAATAAAAGTTTGATAATTTTGAGAGAAATAAAATTAAGACATTAAGGCCAATAGCAAGTGAAGATATGGATTTTGGCTATCTATTTTAGATATTCGCCCTTATATTATTCTCAATTAGTAAATCTACAATATTATGACTTGTTATTTGAGTTACTGTCAATCTTCATATTTCTATAGATGAATAAAACTTTAATTTTTCATTTGTTAAAGAATTTTGAGGATCAATAGTGCTATTAGAAAATTTAACCCATGATTTGAGTAATAAATGTTACACGAGCCTCGAGCGTTATGCATTAGGCGTGCTTAGGGCACACCATCAGATGTTGAAGGTGTAAGGCTCACAAAATCAAACCCCACGCATGAGTCTCACAATATTTTAATAGTGCTTCGCCTCCGGGCGAGTGCCAAAAAAGACTTAAAACACTATAGTACTAGTATTTATTTATCCACAGAATGTGTACTGTCATATACAGAAACTATGCGGCATGAAGTGGACAAAATTGTTTCAACATAGAATTTTGAAATTTCGGGTTAGCCCATTTGGTTTGGAGGATGGTCGTCTGTCATTCATACCGATACCTTAGATCGATTTCTCCCTCAATGCCTTCTAGTTGAACCTGTCGTACATGTCTTGTCTTGTGCGGATTACATCCTTTTGTGATTTGAAGGCTATTGCACAAGGAGTTTACCCAATGCACATAAAATGCTCCCCATAAAGTTCTCGCTCGAAAGACAGAAACTGTAACGGCTGCGGGTTCCTCCTTACCAACAAAAACATAGAACAAAGAGATTCACAAGTAGCACAAACGTCACATTCTATTCTAAGTAGTATTACATAAAAGCAACTCAAAAACCTGTATAAGCTATATAAAACAAAATTCAAGCCTGATTAATTAATATATCATTAGTACAAAAGTCGTAAAAAAGGTTGTTGCCTTTTTCAAGAAAGTAGTCTTCAAACACCCTTTGCAGACTCCGTTCTCAAGAAATCCACCTACCATCAATCCAATCTTGATGAACTCTCAAGTCAGTTATAGAATAAACACATTCTACCCCAAAGTTTTCAAAGTATACATTAATATACAGCTTAGTTCCAATCTTACCAGTGATTTTAATTTGCCAACCCACCACCCATATACATCATTGTCGAAATTAAGCATCAACTTGATATATCGTACAATTAGTTAAACGGAATCTGAGGGCAGAGTTGAGAGAGTACTGTAACCAACGATCATCTTTCAACAAGTACGTTAATATATATATATACTGCATGCACTATGTATGTAATCTTTCTTGAAACCGGTGGCGGAGCCACCTTACAGCAAGAAATGACACCCCTTTATGCGGGAATAATACACGGTGTAGCTAGATAAAAAAATGAATTATATCAGCAGAGACGAATCCAGGATTTAAATCATATGTGTTCAATTTTAAAATTTTTAATATTGAACCCATTATATTTTTAAAGTTATGGGGTTCATATCTACTATTTTTACAATTTTAATATATTTTTACATACAAATTTTTACTCCGCATCGAAAGTTATGGGTTCAGTTGAACCCGTAGCTAGTACGCTACATCCGCCTCTANTTGACACCCGTTAACGAAAATTCTGGCTCCGCCAAAACCACTATTGCAATATCGCATTATGAACCTTGGGATCCATCTTCTTTAATTTGCTAATTGCAACTTCAACAACGTAACATCTCCTCTGATCGATCTTCAAAGTTTTGTGATTTCTTGTTCAATGCTGCTTTGGTTACCTTTGGAAACATCATTGATCTTGAGTTGAATAGAGCGAGAATGAGGAAATTTTAGTGAGATTTATATATATAGGAACAAATTAGAGCTGCTTTCCTACCTTCATTAATTAGGAGGGATAGGAATTGTTCTCTATGTTTCCTAATTTGGTTTCCTTGAATGACTAGGAATAGGAACTTCTGATGTTTTTTTTTACTTTACACTTTTTTTTTATTGGCTGGCTGATTTATTTTACTTTCTTAATTTGTTAGGGGGTTTAATTGGCCGGCAAGTTAAACTATTTGTAGAATTAGTTCCTTTTTCTAGTATCTGGTTTATATACAGCGCAATTTTAAATGTAAATGTCATAGTATATTGAAATGTATAATACTACTAACTGTATAGTTGTGCCTAAAAATTAAAAAGGAAAAAAAGAAGTTTAACAATGAAAGGTTTTTCTGAATATAAGCAGTGTCCATTTGATTTTAAGTTTGTAATTTTTTATTAAACTTTTCCAATTTCCAAACCCACTTTTGGAAACTTGCCAAAATCGATATCTACAGCTTTTCGAAAGCATAATCACTAATACTAATATAGTTTTGATGTTGGTTAAGATCATCAACTAATACTCACATAATCACTTATAACATAATTTTAAATGTTGCTTAAGATCATCGACTGATATACACGAAGAATTGAATGTTCTTGGTGAAATCTCAACTTTAGGTATGTATACAAAATTTAAGAACATAGCATATGAGCATAAAGCCTTTAGGTATCGCGTTCATCTAAATCTAATATTTTTAACGTGAACTTAGGTATATATGTAAATTATACAAAATGATCTAACTTTATATTTCATTAATAGTTGGCGTCAAATGATCTCAGGGGGTTAGAAAAAGAGCTCATCTATGCCCTTATTCATAAGTGGAGCATTAGTTTATTTCAATTAATTTTAATTACGGTGATTAGCACATGGAGTTCCACGTGGCAAAATTTTAAGCTCCTTTTTTACCAGCTCCCCTCCCCCTTCCAAATCATACCTGAACCTCCACTAGTAACTAGAACAGTCAAAAGACGTGCCATTGGATCGCTACATGAGATAGTATCATCCTTTCCCTCCAAAATTTTGGTAGAAATGATATTTAAAAATTATCCGGTACGTCCTGAATTTTAATATTTCAGTTTAATTATTTGGGACAAAAGTGTCTTAAAGTTAAGATTTTTAGTTTAAAATTTCAAAATAAAATAAGTACTGACTAATTTCTAAATAGCATTCCTAAGAACGACTATCTGTGCACTTCCCTTGGAGGATGATCTTATCCTTTATTGAATCCATGGCCAAACTGAACGTGTAGCAAAGATAAAAAGATTTAAACATTAGTAAATAAGTCCGTAATTTTTAAGGTTTAATTCGCATAGAATACTAAAGCACTGAATTCACCTGGGAACATAGAGTAAGAGGGAAAGCTGCAAAGACTGAAGTAAACACAACTTGATTATTTTCAATTCATTGGCAAAGCACTAATAGTAACTATGAAATACATCAATGGGACTATATTAAGTTTACAGAAGTATTTGTAGGCAGGCCACTGCCACTCTTCCATTACCTTCCTTAGAGAGTAAGCACGCGAGAAACCAGAAGCATAATTTTTCTTATTCTTTTCGCCCTAATCCCGGGGAAGACATATTTCCTCCTTCAGGGTAACAGATGTAACTACTCGCGGTGCTAATGCAGATCAGATCATGTCCTTATTAATTTTCCATAAATGTTGCAGTCATCTTATAAAGCAACTTCAGAAAATAGGGACTGGAATGCACCAAGGGAAAATTCAGACCGATTCAAGGCAGCATTGGCAATTGATTTGTCTTCCTCAAGTATTTCAATTTTGTCTGATTTCCCCTGTACGAATGATGCATTGGAAAATGCTAATTTTAGTAGAGATGAGAAATTTAAGCAAAGCTAGAGTAGAATGAGTGCTTTAAAATGTGAACAATGGACATAGCTATATGGTATTAAGCATCAGCAAATCAACATCTATGTAAAACTTGGAAAAGGGTAGAAAGAACTAAATATATTGTTTTCATTAAAACTAAAAGAGAAGGAAAACAGGGGATGTATCTCCTTAAGCCTACCACATGATCCTATACAAATTTGGAAAAGATTTCCAGTTGCTGTAATGGGAAAAGTATGTTTTGGCTACAATATTTCAGCAGCAAGAGAGTGCTTTTCTACTGTAATCATGTGGAATATCTGTGCCATAAACTTGCAAATGGACTCAGTTACAGTAACATTAATTTTCGGGTCTGACTAAGCAACTAAAGCAAGTATGAGATGCAGGCATACATATCACTAGAGTTGTGAGATCTAGCCCCATAAAGGGAAATTAAAATAAAAGTGGGATAAAGGGCTAATGGAAGCTCAAGAGGTTGTTCAGTTCAAAAGGTATCTAAACAGAAATATATTTGGAGTGTGTGTAACACAGTGGGTTTTGGGTTTTCAGTTTTGAATGGTGAGTCTCTTGAGGACTTTGCGATAAAACAGCCTGTTTCAATGATATATTTTTCTCTTCTTGAGCAGCGGTTTTCCTGTTAGTTGATAAGGGTTGTCCCCGTAAATCTCGTTATTCATTCTTTTTTAGTATGGTTATTGACTTATTATCATCCTGGTGGGTAATTCTTAGGTCCTAAGATAAGTCACTGTCAAAGTAATTTAACAACTTTCTTTATCACCTCATCGCATGATCCTCTGATGTAGCCTACAATCACAACTTCCATTTTGCAATCCTGGATCTGCTCATCACTTGAATCTACTATACAAGCTTGCTGAAATGGAGTAGAAAATCAACATGGTTATCTTTAAACTAGGAAAACATATAAGAATGAGAAATTTGAAGTAAGCACCCGACAAAAGATAAGAGAAAAGAAAAGCTAATGTACATCAAGTAGGAATTAGGGCCTATTGCAAACAGACACACTTAAATTACAAGCAACAACATGCATGAAGAAATTAAAATCGGCTTAAAAAACCAGTTAACCTTTTATCATTGCTTAAAACGAATGCATTTCCAAAATTTTGCTACACTATTTGATGCTTAGTCAGTAGCATGTCAAACTATAGATTACACAGACATATTGAGTACCACCCAATAGACACTCATAAATGTTGTATGCATAAACAAATTATTCTGCAATATCCTTAACTGAAGACAAATAAGCAACCCAAATAGAAAGAGTTCCACGAGCATTCAGCAGTGTCAAGTGTTGAAGCATTGAGTAGTTTACTCACCATCTTTCTCTTAGAACTGCAGCAGCCATGTCCCCAACCACTACCAAGAACAATCTTTATGAACTTGTAAGCCTCCGGTTTTGCCCAGCCAAAATAAAGTCCAAACACTTGATCGGGTAGAGTAGACGGCCCATCATCTGGATATGATCTTTAGTCAGAATTTTTCACTGATAGCAGGAGGAAGCTCTAATAACAAGAAATGAAGATATGATTGTAGAAGTATGCCAACTTTTTTATATATAAAAAATACTGTAGGAGTACGGCAAGAACTTTGAGAGGCTAATATCAAAAATAAGGAGTTAGGGAGGGAGGGCATGTGGCTTTTCTAAGACCTGTAAAATCATGGAGGAGGCCGTTTCTGTACAGACCCCTGAAAAAAACAGGTTCAACCAGCAACGCATTACCAACCCCTGCAATCATTAAATGATAAAAGTTGCATCATGCAAGCAGGACATGCAGGACATGCAGGACAAGAGCATATAGTAGACATAATGGAAAAGAAACATACAGTCTTCAAATGGTGGGAGACCCCATAGTTCCGGCTTTAACTCTAGGAGCGAACGAAGCACAGAATCAGCTATCGGATATTGATCAAATTCAGAATGGAAAGATGGCACAGCTACCACCTTCATTCTAGCAGCTTTGCCTGCCTTGACTCCAATGCTGTCAAAATTATTGGAGAAGGAACTACTGTCATATCAATTTTCAGTTAATAATAAATGTTCAGTGGGGTGTGCATTAACTGCACAACTGTGTTCCTAGTATGTTGAATCATGAATGATCAGTTCATGGAAGAGAATGAAAATAAGGAGTAAGTCAATTTAAAGAAATGCAGGATTATTTTGATGCCCTGCTCTAATCTAGCAGAATATATAATCGCTGAGAAAATAGTTGATAGAAATGCAAGTAACCTGAAGCTCTTCACATGCATTAGTGTGTTCCACAACACAATTTATCTTTTTATGAACAACTAAGTAAAAGCGGTCAGCACTGATAGTATACAACACGCTCACATCTCGTGTGAATCATTTTTTTTGGTAATTAAACATATTTTTTGTATCATTTTTAAGTTGCTTCTTATTAGCAAAAAGGGTATCTAAGAATAGAACACCAGTTTTTTATGCAACAACTAGCATCCATCAGAAATTCAAAATTAGTAGCTTTACATTGTGCAGGAATTACAACTTGCATGTGTATTGTGTACATATATGCATCATCGACTTATTTCAGTCTCGTCCAGAAATGATCAAAACCAAGTAAATTTTTATGGTTACAGCCTCTATGTGCTAAAATAAATAAAAGACTCCTACTCACCACAGTTTTCAACTAATGTTTCTTTTGGAGTTAAAATAAATAAACATGGTCCATGCACCAGGGAGGGGAAACTTCTAAACTAGTGCCGGGTTTCAAGAGCCGAATTTTTGCAAACTTAATCTGAAATTCAGTTCTCAGTCCCACACAAAAATTGTTAGATGAAATGACTTGCTCGTGATATGACATATGTTAGACTCAAAGCTTCAAGAATATGTGTTCAGCTAGTCAAGTTAGCTATTAGCATGGACAAAAGAAGATGAACAGAAACTTGAGGTACATGTTAGAATAGAAATACAAGCACTAACATGAAAGGTGGATGATTTCTATCACTCACTAGCACACAGCATAGGTATGTAAAAATTGTCCAACTGAAACAATGCTAACTAGAAATGAGAAATGATGATAAGGCTACTTACACAGAATCCTCTATCACTAGGCAGTGAGCTGCATCTGCACCCATTTGCTTTGCAGCTTCCAGAAATCTAAAATCAACTCAAGAATTCACAGGAAATCAAAAGGCAAAAATATTATCACCTGTGACACCAATTATCAGCCAATGGAAAAGAAGTTCAGGTCTGTCATTGATTTATGCAAATTTTGCACAAATCCAGATTTATTCAACAGGCAAATTATTATTGGATCTACTAGACTTATTTTAAAACGGAATGCAACATGTCAGTCCTGTTACCAAAATACACCAAACAGAATTTTTTTGAATAAGTATATTATTTTATTACAAAAATTCATCCACAGGATGCAAGTTGTTTATCTTAGAATGTGTATTGGCCCAAAGAAGACATATCCTCTTCCAAGTGATGGAAAGAACTAATGAAATAGTTACATTTGCTTACGTATTTTGTCTTTTTGGTCAAAACATGAATATCTAAATAGTAGAGACCAAATAATAAATCTCCTTAACCTTATGAGCTGCTAAAAGAATAGTACAATGAGCAGTTTGTACATGCTTTTTATGACCAAGCACCTTCTTGGTGCTGTAGTTATCAATCAAATATCCTTAGCAAACTTCAAGAAAAATGCGATAACACAAAATTCAAGAGGAAAGAGAATATAGAAGTATGTCATATCTTATGCAGAGTTCGAAGTATCACACACTGTAGAAAGCCTAACTTACATGTCTGGAGAAGGCTTCCCTGATTTAACCTGGTCACTTCCAAGAATTACGGAAAAGCATTCTTTCCATCCTAGGGAAATGAAAAAAAGGATTATGGTAGATTAATATACACACCTTCACAAGGAAATAACTGAAAGAAAGTTGATGTGATGACCACGATTGGAAGGTCATAAAGGGTGACCTCATTTTGGAAGAGAAGGAAACAATTTATACAAGAATAATAATAACAAGATGATTCGACAAAAAATACTTTACAGGTCTTCCAAACCTTTAAAGGGATTCATATTCTTTTACAACAAAACTTGATTTCAGGCGTATCATTGAGAAATTCAGTTGAGTTATCAGAGCATACAAACAACTTGGGCAAAAATGATAGCAGTAAGCAATCCGTTATGTACACCAATAATCCAACTTTCAATATTAAATATTCGTTTAACGCTTCCTCACATCAACTCAAACAAAATCAAAAGGTAGAACTGCAGGCAGAGAACAAAAGGGATGAAAATGTTACAAAGAAGCCACATATGTGACAACAGAGAGCAGCATCCGATGAAGTGCCAAACAATGTAACAGCTGGCAGAAAGAAATTCCTCATTCCTAAGGAACTGTCTTAAGGACTATTTACTTCAAAATAACAACACCAACTGATGAAACAAGAAAATAAAAAATAATGCGCGAAGGAGCATAATGAATATAAAATACGTTTTACACTAATTTCTTTATGATTTATAGCACAACCTTCTTGGAGAGCGACTTTCCCATCTATGTTTTTTCTTTTGGAATTGGAAGCAAGGGCAAAGGGAACTCCGTGCTTATGGAGATGTCTTATAAGGCGATTAGCACCAGGAAGTGCTTTGGCTTGCAACCACCTACAACGAATCAGGAAAAGAAAAACCTACACGTGAATACGCTGTTGCACATTTGTGAAATCATTGAATATCTTAAACACATGACAGTGCAGGGAAACTGATATAAGTTAACTTGTCACACTCTGATGGTGTGCATAACGATTGACAAATAGGCAGTCAACTAGTGCAGAGTGTTTTACTAGATTCTGTTAGTTATACAGAAGAGAGCACTAATATTGTGAGACTAGCCAAAAATATTAACTACCATGGCAACAAGTATTTCAACTTCAGCATATCATCAACTAGAATTGGAGACATTATCACAGAACATATTAGCTTGAAGACAATAAGAATACAACTTTTTAACACAGCTTACGAAAAAGAGAAGATGCTTCTGGCTCTTGAAGTAACAGGAAATGACTTGTATCCAATACATAATAGCAATAGGACAAAGTAAAGATTAACAATCCCGTTATTTATCCAATATGACTTACAATGAAATGCCAAAATATGATGAATGTTTGTAAGATGATGACATCAACCAACAAAGGCAGAACCAAGATTTGAACTTTATGGGTTCGAGTTCGGAATTCCACAACAACCTATTTGATTTACTGGATTCAATATCTATTTTTAACACTAATTTAGTGGATTTTTTTAACACATATACAGAGTTTGAACCAAAGTTACGGGGTTTGGACAAACACAGGACTACTGTACTGGGTCCGCACATGTCAACCAACTATGCATTACAGTTTACAAGTGAGTGCCCATATGTATGTTGTCATGGGCTGCTTTCCATCATCGACCCATGACCCCTTGGACGCGCCCCGTGGCGTCCCGGCAAGCCTCCCAACGCCTAGCGCCACGGTCGGCCCC